AAAAGATACAACGTCGAACTCTTTCAAATATTCCATCTGTAATAGAAAATAAGAACATTCCTTGCAAGTGTCACGATATATCTCTAAAACGTAAGTTTGTAGGAAATCATAAACATCATTTTTCAATAGTCGTACATCTATTGACAGTATTCGTTAAAAATCGTAGGTAGTAAAGAATTATGAAATTTTCAACGATTGAAATGCGCTGGTACATAGAGGGTGTTCAAAAAGGTTGGTTCCAAGATAAAGTGCTTTATTAAAAAGATACAACGTCGAACTCTTTCAAATATTCCATCTGTAATAGAAAATAAGAACATTCCTTGCAAGTGTCACGATATATCTCTGAAACGTAAGTTTGTAGGAAATTTTTTCATCCATCCGAGCTCTGTGGCGCTTAGTTCAAGTTTGGTCCGGTGCTGGGCACCCGGTATATCGCACCGCGTTCTGTTTATTTGGACGAACCCTGGGCCGCTTAAGTTAGCATAAAGTTTCCCCGTATCCGGTGGAAATTATTATGCTTTCATAATTCCGCCTATACAAGGTACGTAGTGGCATCCTCGGTCTGTTGGCGTGATTAAAATCCAGTAATTTCCCACTCACCGCACGTTGATTTGCAAAGAATCCCCGGGAGCATTGTTAGAAAGGAAAGTTAAAGCTTTCAGCGCGAAACGTGCACGCCAGGCACATCCACCGCAACGCATCAACTACAGACTATAGGGTCGAGACCATCTTCTTCACCGTTACAGTTTAGAATACGGCAAACAAGTAACTGTAATTACCATTTGGCTGCATCTACCCGTAAGTAGTTGCCGGTGCAGCATAAGTATTTGGCATAGAGTAATGTAGACAGTTGTAAAAGCTAATGGTCGTTGCCTCGACGTGGAATAAGGCTTGGTGGTACAGTTACAATGGCAAGAAATAAGAAATTGTACTCAGCTCGAATAAAGAAGCAAACGGAGTATTACGTCTTGAATAAAGAGCGATACGTTCTTGCGCGGGTTACGATTTAAGCTTTCCATAAAACGAATACGTCCTCGCGGTTTCGGTGAACGGGGGTCAGAGCGTATCGAATTTATGATCGGTCGCTCGAGCTCCCAATCAATCGCATCCATCTTTCTTTTTAACCGCGAGCAACGCGTTTCGAAGTACTCGGTAAGATCGCATTGAGTCGTCACGGTAGACGTCCTACCGCAACATAAGTATTTGGCACGGAGTTACGCAGACAGTTGTAAAAGTTAATGGTCGTTGCCTCGTTGAGAACCAGGCCGGAGCACCGCTTCCCAATGGAAGAAGTAATAAATTCCGGTTGTGCAAGCAAAGAAGCCATGTTTCCTCTCTTAAACGAGGAACAATATCTTCACCTTTCTTCGGGTACAAAAGCTCCCACCGATATAATCTGTCTCCGACGATGAAGACGCCAGACGGGACAGAATATATATATATATATATATATATTCCGGTTAAAATTATTACACTCGTTGTTCCGATCGAATAAAGTCACTTACTCTTCGGGTACACCGGAGTATTTGACACAGAACGATTTGGCTAGTTGTTGAAGCTTAATGGTCGTTGCACCGAGAAGTTACGACGGAAGATGTAATAAATTGCGGCAAGTAAAGAGAGCAACACTTTTATTCTTTTTGGGAACGATTTAAAGCTCTATGGAACGATCTGCTTCCCTGTAACAAAGATGAAGGGCACCCCCGACTAACGATCCCGGTGAGATTCTGGCCAATCGTAATTGTAATCCTCTTATTGCTCGATGGCATCGATTAAACTCGGACTTAATATTCTTCTTTCCTCTGTGGGATGCTGTGTGTATTCCCTCAAGATATTTTAATCAGTTCTTAAACATTTTAACATTCATCTGGGGAACAACAAATATTGTTACGATATTATCTCTTGTGTCAATTTAATAGTCATGGGAGGTCGGTCGAGCACTTGTGAGAGAGGTAAGAGCGCGTAGCCCTCTGCTGGAGGCACATTACAGAGCAGAGAAGGCACTGTTTCTGCTACTAAATACCGCAGTTAAATTCCACTGTTAGGTTTCAAAATTTGAGAGGCTCGTCAGTCCACTCGATGTTCCTGGACGATCTGCGTCCGTTTATGTAGTATTTTGACGATTTCTTGGCGGTGTTTGGGGCACGCGACGTGACGTCGTATAGCACGTGGCGCCCCTGGGGCAATTGGGCGAGCTGTCGGGTACCTTCGGCCAGCCCTGATTGTCATTCCGGGCTGTGGTTGTCGTTAAGAGCACGTTCAAAGGCCGCGGTAAGATCGTCGTTGAATCGTCGACGCTCAGTCGTTAGAGAACGCAATCAGACAGTGGACTCTCGTCATCGACCGGCACGCATTCAGGACACGCTCCCTGCAGATTTGTATACACGGCAGTTTCGTTGCATCCACCTTCCCCTTAGCGAGATATCGTTAGGACGCGTTTTACCTAACTAGCTTTTACGATATTAAGTTCCGCCGTTCCAGGTCGACCGGATTCACTTTACCCAGTTCACGCGATACCCATCTGTTGGCGCTCTTAAATAGATCCCAGGTTGGCGAACGGCGACGCGGTGGATGCTCGAAACGGTTGATTAAATTTCGAATTTCGTTAATCCTTGTCCCGGGGCTTTCGTGTCCCCCCTCCGCGTCTTCGAGGCCGTACGTTGTTTCATTTGGCGAACCGCCGTTGAAATATGCGTGCGAAATTACAGCCACTGGCCACCGAAAACCGCACACAAATTTTTCCGCCCCCGCGTTATTTCCTCTTTGGAACTCGTAAAGAATGCAGTGTCGCGAACGCGCTTTTTTTTTGCCCCCGTCGACATGTTTACTATCCGATTTTCAGCGAAATACGGAGCAACGTTGCTGTTCGGGGCCGCGCTGGAACCTCGATCGTCCGGAATAGTCGGGAAATGGACCGTACTAGTCGAACTTTTGCGTTTTCTAGCGAAGAAAACTCAATTATTCTACCCTCTTCCGTATTTTGGTAAATTCTTTCGCCATTTCTACGTTGATCGACGCGTTGAAAATAGAAATTTACAGGTCATGTATATCTATTGAAATATATTTATAACCTTGATCGATAATCTAAGTGTTCGAACGTTCTACTTCCGTATTTAGGTTAGCAATCGTTTCACAATCTCGGTGAAATGTTACAAAATATTTCTTCCTGTCGATAGTGAACATAAAATTAAAAAATTCCGAGGTTCGAGCAAGTCCTCGATACGGTTTTCGTTTGCTGTGACTCGAAGTTTTGAAAACAGTCCGTCAGCGATCCCGTATCGAATTTCACATTGTTAAGCAAGTTATAGCTGGTTAAAGCTAACGGTACACAAGGTCGGATATTACATTATGAAAGTTTAACCGTCGGACGGCGGAAGATCCGTCAGTTGAGCGGAAAGCGAACTTGGGTCAACTTTGACCCGTGAAAGCTCTTCATCCACGGATTAGATACGTCAAACATTTAATATCTCAAAACTATTATGAAACGATCGAATCTTGTCTCTCGTGAAATAACATTTGTTCTTTTATTCCGTCGACGGCTAATAAAAACAATTTTGTTCCTCGTTTATAAACGAACAGTTTTTTGCGCGAACACGTAGGCAAATACCGACGAATCGTTATTAAAAAGAATCCCGAACGATGAATCGAATCGTTTAACGAATGGAGGGAAAAAAGCAGAACCGTGCTTGTACAACAGGCGGTCGTTTATTTATTCGAAACGAAAATTGTAACAACAGTTTAACCGGCTTCTTCATTCCGGCGTTCTACTTTTTCCGGTCTCCCTGCTGGTTTGCATATTTTTAAGGCCTGCTTCCAAAGCAGTAAATGCCCGAGAATATCGCCGGGACGTTCCTTTCCCGAGTAAATAAAAAGCACATAACCGAACGAAACTCCGTATTTCTCAAGATTTAACTGTTGATATAGAATCCGTTATCAACGGTTTACGCGCGGTTAGAAAATAGCGGGCATTCTGTTCCGCAAACTTGCCTTGAGAATTCGTCAAAAAAGGAAAGAATCTCTCTCGCTTTGGACTCCGAACTGGAACAGTTTAAATAGAGTTTCGCGGCGAATAAAGAATCGAAGTTGACAATCGTATCATTCACTCGTTGCCCGGCTGTCCTATTAATTTAGCTGTCCGAGCTATCAATAGATTTCCTCCTCGGAGTCCGACTTGGATTCTTGGGAGGAAACAACTTCCGTTTACAGTTGTCCGTCAAACTCTTCGAGAGCTGACAATCGGGGAAACTTTAATGAACAGAATCTGCAAGTTTCGCTGATATCTGCGAAATATTGTTGCGACTATAACTGGCGACTTGAATTAGGGAGTTCCCAAAGTCGCTCCGTACCTCTCAAGGCGGTTCATACATTTTCCATTCGGCGCTAATTTGCATGCTAATTAACAAATTGCTACTCGATCTTCGAGACCACCATTACTGCAATTTTATAACATCTTCGACTCACAATTAATTTCAAATCGTATCACGGGTCATCGAACACTACGTATAAATAATTAAAATTCATATTTCTATTATTACAATTTTGTAATATAGATCACAATATATAGGGGATTATTTTTGTTATAAGTTGTGAGCAACGAGGGTCCCTGAAGGTTTACGTTTTTTCTAATTAATTTAAAATCGCGCCAACGTCACAGGCTATTAAGCACCGTATGTGAACAGATTGATTTATGTTTGTATTATTTGTGGATCAGCCCCAGTGGATTTGCAGACCCATATTTTTGCTTTTTCGAGCAAACCGAGTCCCCTGTCGGGTAAAATTCGGTGCAAATAGGGAAGATGTCGGGCTAAGGGCGCGGGAATTTGGCGAACGGTCCATTATTGTTATTACGTCGCTGTGCTTCCCAATATTCTGGGAGCGAACAAATCTCTATGGACGTCGGGTGTGAACGACAAGTGTATTGGACAAGTGCGGTAGAGATCCCGTGGATATGTTTGGGTTTGAAGGTTCGGGTTGAAGTGTGTCTGGAGAGACTCCTAAAAATGTACGCGAAGCCTTGGGCATACGGAAACCATCGCAGTAAGTGCGCTGTGTGCGCGACGGTTCAAGAGAGCCGAGCGATTGAGGAGTTGGTCAGTCTGCTGAAGAATTGTTGGAGAGTCCAAGGTCGATTGCTGGTACGCTACCAACGAATGAATTCTTCCATCGAGCATTTCTACACCTTCGCCAGATTGTTTCGAACGGGTTTCTCGCGAACGATTTCTCCGTACTTTGAAACCTTCAGAAATTAATTTAGGAAAAAATATTTTGCGTGTACTTTTTGTAGGAAAATTGTGTACCGAATGTAGGAATCGTTAAAAAGTCTAAAACTATCCAACGTAATCTACGTTAATTATTTTACTGCCATTTTCTAGAATTTTCCCCCGCGAATAAATGCGTCTGCCATTTTAACCGATTACGCGCAACAGAGGTAAATAGATGTTTAATTCAATAGAAAAAGTAATATCTGAAGTCGTAAGTAGACTCGAACAGCCGACCAAATCAAATTAAAAGCTACAACTCACGTCCCCGACGCGTTTCGCGCGTAGAACTACGTGTATCTACTTCCATTAACGTTGCTTCTATATTAATAATACGTCCTTATTGCGCCGTGGTCGTGTAAAATGTTCATCGACGAATTGAATAAAATATGATATGTAGATGCAGACATAAATATGTAATCAAGGTGGAAGAGCGGGATCCCCGAGCCCTGCGTGCTGTAATTAACCTAACCTGTGATTAACCTTAATCTACGAATATAATTTACGATTCGGTGTATTAACAAGATTTCGTTGTTATCTTTTCCTACTGCGTCGCGTTTCAAACTTCGAATGGATGTTTTATTATTATACTGCGTCGATAAAGCTGTATTTATTGCGTCCGGTTCGAGTCGTTTAACAAGTGCTTTAATATTTACTACTTTCGTCGACAATTATTACTTTTTAGCGTCTCGACAGGGCTGGAAGTAACACGAATATCTCTATATTTAATTTTATATATTATATAAAATTCTAATTTTAAAATAGCCACCTTCGTTATTGACTTTCTATCGATAATTTTCATCTGTCACAATTACAATCTCGATGGAGACAAATATATCAAGTTGTTAAAATTCATACGGTCGTTTTCCAAAGTTAAATCGTTGCTTTCGACCAGTGGGCTGATCTACGTACTCGTTGTAGACTTCGAACTCGTCCGAATGATACCAAGTATTGCAGAGAGAAGAGAAAATTAGTTCCGGGAGGAATTGCGGGTCGTATTGGGTCAGACGTTTTAGTCAGCCCTCGTAACGCCTGCGAGTAAGGAAATATTACTCGACAGTGTCCACATTCTACTTATTCATTGGGCTAAATTCCCTTTAAGCCGGGACCTTTCCCTCTATACTTGGCGCGTATGCAACGGCTTAACACGGGGCGTTGTATGAATTTTATTTTATCCACGAAAACTGCTAAAAACAAAATTAATTCCGGAATATTTATACGCTCGTGAAATAATTAATATTCAAATTAAACGATAAGCGACTGTGCTCCTCCGGTGCTATTAGGCGTCCCGGTGAAAAAACACACCCTAATCCCGAAAAAATTAACAGGAATTCTTCTTCTTGGACTTTCGATCGATCCCCATTATGCGAGAGTTAAAAACACAAACGATAGAAAATCCTAGAGTTTTACAAACTGGAAATCGACGTTACAATAAAGTTAATTTATCAACGAGTCTAAAATTGTTGTTCGTCGTTTGGGGAATAAAATTCGGCCAGTTGGGGTTGTCGGAAGTGTTGAGAATAGCCACCCTCGAATGTTTTTCGATTTTACGAACAGTCCAGGCGCTTCGTCGCGTTTATTATTAGCAGCCCGCTCGTCTGGGCTGACGAAGTATTTAAATATTTACAATGAGCGAATGGACAAACGTTTCTATCTCGGAAAATAAAAATCCATCGTGGTGTACGAGCCAGGCAATAGCTTTTGCAGGGTTTATTCGTCTGTTAGAAAATCGTTCAAGAACTGTCTGGCTGGTCGCTTGAAATGGGACGGTGCACCGTCATGCATAAATCACATGCGACGTACAACATCCAAAGGAACGTCTTCCAGTAATTCAGACAATTGATTATTCCAGAAATTGACGTAAGATTCGTTCGTTAATTGCCCGTTAAAATCCCGCGAAGATTTCCAGAATTATACAAAATTTTGTCGGAGACCCAAAGCATCGTGCAAAAATTACACCTCGTCCCTTCAGCGTTTAATTTCCCCGTATCACGTGTGTTCGTCTAACCTTCGAATTCTAATTTATAGGGGACGAAACGTGGAGTCATGACTAAAAAATTTCACTTCCGTCCGTTCATTTTTACGACCAGGTCTGTAGCTTGGAATTGTGCTCCGAATTAAAATTTTAAATCAGAACGTTACGGGCCTCGATATTGGTATTTGCAATTTTTCAAAAGCAAACACGCTCGAATATTCAAAAATAAAATTGCATAAGAAAATGGGTCGCGGCTCGGTTGCATGTTCTATAACCTTTGGGTCCCTAAAACGACGCAAACTGAAATTGTCGCGCACGGTTACGGTTACGGGTTCGGTTTCTCCTGTTCTCCGGTTGGTCGAAAGTTTTTGCGCGGTAGTGGGGGGTTGTAGCCTGTAACTGACAATGAAGAAGTTACACCATATCCAGGAACGTCTCGCGTTCGGGAAAAATGCGACAGGCGGGGGCGTGCAGACGACAGAGCGATCAAATAGGCCCGACGCTAAACAGAAACACCTGTCTGTTGCAGGAATTTGCTCCGGTTTGCGAGAAGTGCGCATCCAGATACCGACGGCCGTGAAGAAAGGTGACTCGGCGATACTGAATTGCTGGTATGACACCGAGGGGGATCCTTTATACGCCGTCAAGTGGTACAAAGGGGGTCGAGAGTTTTATCGCTACGCCCCGAAAGAGACCCCGGTCGTCAAGACTTTCCCTATCGGGAACTTGACGGTGAAGGTGAGCATCCAATCCCCCCCCCCTCTCACCCTTTTTCCTCAACCCTCTTTCGTTTCTTCTTCATTTAAACCCGAGCCCGTGCCCCGCGGGCCTCTGTTAAATCTTTCGAGAGGCTGGGGCGCCGCGACGAAGAAAACGCCCCTGGCCTCCGGGAAGACCAACGTCTCCGGAATTTATTAATAATATCTGCTATCCAATATACACTACTTGCATAAATTAAAGGATTTTATGATCGGGAATCATCGGTTTTTCTCTCTTTGCTATCCATTTGGCGCCACCGATCCTAAACGCGTGGCCAGTTTTAAATACTTCGCGAAGAAAGATCGTCGTAAGTTACTATCAAAGATGGAGGATCTCTAGCGTCCTCCTAGTCGAAACTTCGTTCGTTTCCCTTATTATAATTGTTCGTTTCGACGCGTTCACTGACACATGAAAACTCTATAATATTCTGCAAGAGTAACGTTTTGATTTTAGAACGTTGTACACTACATATTTCCCTCGACATAATATAATTTCTTGCTTTAATATTGTATTCATTATATTGGATAGTAGTGTCATGTGTCATATGTCACATCATACACGTGATCTTAGAAATGCTATTTTTCAATGATACAATTTCTTACATCTTTTTAACATTTTGTACATGAATCGATTTTTCTCGTCTCTCAAGGAGTCAATATTTAAATGAAAATTCTTATTCGTATTATACGCGTGGTCCCAGAAATACAGATGTCGGTTATCGGCCATATTGAACACGAATGAAAGTCGGCAAGAGATGCAGAATTCGATAAAATTGCGGTGGAACGGTAGGTCCGTGCCCACGCTAACCGTAGTTACAATATTAGCTGCATACGTTCATAAACTTTCGCGGGAAGAGAGGTCAGAATTTGGGAAATTATGTTTGGTCGGTACGTGTTAGTAACCGTACTGTTTTAACGAGAGTGGCCGCCGGTTGAGTGGCAGCGTAGGCTGTGTGATAACTTTTTGACCCGCGGGTTCAAACCCCCGTTGGAATAAATTTTTCATTGCATTATTAACTTCCGACGGGTTATTGGTTCATTATTAACAAAACGTTTTAATATTAAATACGAGTGTAATAACGTGTTTCGAACTGCGAGTGATACAATTTTATTCCGTAACGTGGCATACAATCGCGTGAAATTTGAATACGCCGGCGTTGGTAGCATTTATTACAAACCAAATTGGGTTTTTAGGCGATCGTATAACAGGGAATTAATTCTTACAAATACGTCAGAATATTCTGGACAGTACGGATCAGGGATCTGAGTAAATGAACATAATTTGAAACACTTATTCTGTCCACGTGTCGAACGTACCTTAGCTTATTATCGTTACTTGATACACCATGAATTAAGTTTGGTTTGCTTGAAAGTTACAACGCCTATAGAGAAATTTTTTCAAACGTATATAATTGCAAATGAGAATATAAAAAATTGTCATTTTTCCACGGATGTACATGATGCGGTGATAATCAATGCTTCCGTTGTGCGTATGACAAATTTCATCCGATTATATGCAAACGCGTGGAATACAATTATATCACGTTCAATTCATAACATGTTACATTACGCTCGCATTCGATATTAAAATGTTTTATTAATACTGAATGAATAACCTGTTGAAAAGTTAATAATGCGATAAAAAATTTGTACCAACGGGTTTTTAATTCCGGGCAAAAAAAAAGTTGGCGTCGCGGCCGCCTGCGTTTCCGCGTTCTCGTTAAAACGGTACAGTCGCCGGCGTGCACTGCGACGCGAACGCAATTTCCTAAATTCTGGCCTCATTTTTCGGAAAAGTTTATGGACATGTTCGGCTAATATTGTACCTACGGTTTTCCAATTACCAGACTACCAATTTCATTCGAATCGACGTCTCTCGGAGACGGAGTTCTGCCCTGCAGGCTTCCTCGAATTCTCTCCAGGAAATCCATGGCGACGTCTCAACGAAAAAACGCTCTCCATATAAAGATTAATCTAACTCTCTATTTCATCCCTTCAATCAAGGAGCCTAGAATTAGAATTCACAAAAATCTTTTATCAACAGTATCTGGCACATCGTTCAATATATAAACAATAACGCTAAAAAATATATAAAGATAAACGCGATTGTTTATTTCAATCCCGAATCAATGAGAATAGTGTCGTAAGGTGCAAAAATTCCCCGCGAACGAGCGTCGCGTTCAGAAAATGGCGCGCGTGGGATGAAGCGTATAAATGGCGGGAAATTTAAACAGCGGTGAGACTAACCGTGCCCCACGGGGCTGCCGTGGAATCTTTTGAGAGAGGCCAGGGCCGACGCGGCGATGAAAAAACGCCCTCGGCAGAGGGAAGACCAACGTCAGGGGGATTTATCGCAGTCGAGAAGTTGGATGGAACAATAACCGAACGTTTCTTCTGAAATATGGCGCGCTGGATATCGCTGGTCCTCCCCCTCCCCCTCACCCCTCCAACTTGTTCCGCGGAACTTTGCGAATTCGAGTCGGGCTTCTTAATGAGCGGTAACAGAGGGGGATGTGCTCCGGCGTCGCGGGTTGGACGCATCGATTCGTGCACGCCCCGGCTGGTATTTTTACGACGAGACCAGTGCATTTAGGGGAAACGAATCGTTCGCGCCAGCCAGCCAGCGAGATATCGACGAATCTATAATCGAGACGGTCCCTACGATTATACGCGACGATATCGTAAAAACGACCCCCCTTCCCACGCGATCGCGCGTCCGAAACGATGTTAACACGCGTTTATGGAAAATTTCTCGCCCTCATATCTATTTCACGATTCAATCAACTGACGAAATAGTTTCCGTCGATGGCCATCATTGTCAGAGAATTTTAATTTTCTACGTATAATATTCGCTAGGAAACGGTCCGGGGAACAAACTCTCAGGCACTTGGATCTTTTAATTTCAACCATTTTACATTCGATATTCAATTAGTAGACTGTGGATTCACCATCGAGTGTGAAACTCATTAGTCTAGAATGCAGTACTGTAATATAAGCTTAACGATCAGAATCTGACAATCAGAATTTTTTAACCACATAATAAAGAAAGATTCAAATAATGTGTCCTGACCGAACAACAAGAAAAAACTTCTTTTCCAAAGCTTGTTCTGGTCTTGTAAAGGGAAAAATTTGTAATGGTTAAAAAATGGATATTTTGCAGGGCCGTAGAGGGGGATGCAATTGCTTGGTCGCGCCCCCCTGGGTGTCCTATTGCGGTCCGTTATCATGGCGTAGATATACGACAGCCTCCGGGGGTGGATGGAGAATTCGTACCGACACAGAAGTCGCGTTAGTACGACCGGATGTACAGAGGCCACTTGACTCGTTACTTTTCGCGGCAGACGGGCGTAACGAGGCTGAAGTGACCGTTCAATATTTGCTTTATGATGGCAACTCTGTCGTTTCGCTGCTCGTTGACTTAGCATTTCCAGTGGCCGAACGACGTTATAATTGTTCGATGGTATTTCGAGGACGATCCGATCGATTCGACATCGATCAACAAATATATCTGCTTCGTGTTACCGCGAGGGTGTAAATGAGCTAGAGACACGATTCTCCGGACTCTGACAACCGCGAGTCGGGAAAAAGAACGACTTAATGGACACACGTCCGCGGCGTAATGGGTTCAGAAATATTCTTTAGTTTGTAGGTGAATAGTTCTTCATGCGACTATGTATACTGCAGAATGGCCGACGTCTCGTGAATTATTAGGTGATCTGGGAACGGATATGCCGCGTTATAGATTCTTCCAGACCCCGTCTTGGACAGTGGTTCGTTCGAACTGTCGTTACAAGCGTTCGAAACGTTTCCGCGTGTTCCACGGTATAGAAAATTAATCTCGTGTATCTTAAATAGCATCGAGAAGCAATTACGAACCGTCGAGTATATTCGACATCGGCTCGCGAAATGAAACTCTCGATGGAATCAATTTTGCTCCGCGGTTCGTTCGATTTTCACCGATCGACTGCCTCGTTTTTATTTGTTAAATGTAAATACTTTTGTCGACGTTTAACCGAATTTCTTTCGAATTCGTCGATTGTTAACCGGATAACTCGATTCGCGTGGCGCTTTCGCGGCGATAAACGCGGTCAATGCGATCGAACCGTGGAACGGGGAGTGAAAAAAAAAAGAAGGGGGAAAAGATTGAATTATATCCGACGCGATCAGCTGTTTCGTGGCCCCTCGTTCCGCGAGAAACTATCTCAAAAACGTTTCGGCGTACGGCACGCCTCGTTTAGCGCGCCGGTAATTTCTCCTGGATACGAAAATAGTTCGTACCACGTTCGATGCAATACGGCGCGGCGCGATCCGCCATCGCGTTTCGCGCAGAATTCTTCCTGCGAAACAGGAGCTCCGGGGGGCACACCAAAAGTTTCAAACGGCCATCATTTCCCCCGCGAGGCTTTACATAATCCTCCGTTCAACATGCGAGTGTCTCGTTACTCCGCGCTAATAGCGCGTTGTAAAATTACAAAGAACCGGGCGAAATTGCTTTTTCGCCGTGCTTACTAAATCCTCGCGAGCGCGGGGGGACGATGTCGCGCTGGCCCTCGCCCGGGCTTTGCGGTCTCGCGGAGCTATCGGCCACCACGAGCGACAGAATTTCTCGCCCAGACGAGAAAGATGGCTCCCGGGGACAAACGGGACGAATAAATCGACGCGAAACGCGAAACTGTCTCAATATGGCGAGCCTCCCCCTGTTTTTTATTTACCCAACATATAGGCGTAAAACGGAACGTTCCGGGAATAATTAAAATTCTTTCGGCGCAAGTGCTCGATACCGAATGTTTCGACTCGAAATTTGCATCGGAAACGATCTTGTTTCGCCGTAAAATGGAATTAAATTTGCTTACATGCAACTTTATCCGATGCAAAATAGCCGGTAAAGTTTCGAACGGTTCTCGGGTGAATTCGAATGCCAGGAAGTCTTTCCGAAGGAGTCGTAAAATTTGACAAATTGCCAAGATCTCTACGAGGTGATTGCGTAGCTGCCAACGTGTATAGCCTAATTACGCGGAGCGCAGAGGATTAATTCAATTAGGTTCCGTGAGTTATTAACGAAATAACGAGAACTGGGTCCCTCAATGGACCTCAGATCGTATAAAGATTAAGCAACTGGTTCCTTGAATCACCTTTTACAAGTAGTACTAATGAGATACATGGTTGGGAAGAGGAATTATTTTATTAATAACTGCATCGATCAGATGTACAAAGAGATAGAAAAACGCGTCAGCTTTAAAAGCGTAGACTTTAATGGGAATTAGAATCACGTATTTTTTTCTTTTCTAAGCGAACGAACGATTAAAGATAACGAGTGTATCGAAAGAAAGTATTTAAGCTGTTTTAATCGTCGTTGGTGCAAAAACGTAAATAGTAACAGTATCTCGTGTTCGGTTATTTGGCTTCAACCAACGTTTGATTGCTTCCCAGATACCAGTAATCCAACACCTTTGTTGCAGGTGTATAAAGTCCCGAACAATCACCTCATCATAGGTGGAGCGACAGCGGACGTTCTCCTGCCTGAAATTATTGACTCACTGTTCATACTAGTGAGTTCCCGGTGTCCCGGATGATAAGCAATTTCGATATTAAATCAGGGGAGTTTTTAACCCGGAAACGTTGTAAACAGAGAACTTAATACGAAATTAACAACTTAAGTAACGAACAAGCATAGATTCAGCTCCGTTTCAGCCATAAAAATTCATCCACGCGGGAATGTTGCACGGCCAAGTAGAAATATCGAGGTATGGTCAGACGCGCATACAAATTTTTAAACCCTATTATCTCGGAAACGAAGCATCGTACGAGAAAATGTTATCCCACATTCTCGACATATTTTTTCGCGTAGGTTCTACGATCTCTTGAAAAATTTCCCGTAGAACGGTCCGTTTTTCAGATAATCGAGTTTGAATATTTACAGGATCGTCCGACCATTATTTGCTCGTTTTACTTGAACCGAGTCCCACTCTATTCCAGGCAATTTTCTTGGCAACGGCGATCCGTACGATCAAATTTTGCTCCATCTTTTCGACTATTCTACACTGATCGCGCAGATGCAAAATTAAAAAAAAATTTGCCAAATACAAAGGGTTGGAGGAGAAGCAAATTCATGACTACACCCAATAAGAGAAAAAATTTATAAAAAATCCTCAGAGTAATTCTCTCCAATCTGGCATTTCTCAGTCTCGAAATTAAATAAGTACATCGTAAGGGGTGGAAAGAAATTCGCTAGCGAATGGTCGCGTGCGAGGATGTCGCGTTTAGGCTGTCCGGGGCTGCGGGTTGCGGTCTCGCGGCAGCATCGGGGCTGCGGGAGCAACAGAATTTCTCGCAGGGGCGAGAAAGGGGGTTCGAGCAGGGGTGGCGTCGACCAGGACGCGCGAATAAATCGCGACGCGTCGCGAAATTCTGCGCCACCGGCCGCGGCCGACGGGGGACGCGCCGTTACGGGGCGTAATGTCGCTCGTAAACCGCGTCCGTGGCCGGTGTGTTCCGCGAGCGTGAAGCTCTCCCTGCCAGGGCTTGTTCGCAACGGGGCGAATGACACGCCGTCATTCCGAATCGATATCGCGAAGAGGCGAACGCTCGGTCCAGTTGCCGTCTTCGCAGCGCGGATTATTCAACCGTCGACGGGAACAATGCGAAACGGCCGCGCGGGGCCTTTGTCTTCCGGCCGATTGATCGATGTTCCGGTCGCGGTGCTTCCTCTCTCGCTGTTTTTTTTTTTTCGCGCGCGCGCCTCTATGGACGACCGGCGTCATAAATTTCTGGCCGTCGAACCGGTTCGAGGCGCGGAAGACGCCGCGTACAGAAAGAAACATTAGTACTCGACCTCTATTTTTCCCCGAGACAATAGAATTTCGGCACGGTGATATACGAAATAAAGTCCCTGTGTTTATGTATCGAGCACGGCCATCTTTGGAACCCCGAGAGGGATGGAGGAAATTAATTCTTCTGCTGCTCTCCTAGTTTGTGTCGAATCCCAGATCGCTTCGCGTTATTCTGGCCCTGCAGATCGTGTATGCAAATATATTTCTCTAAAACTCATTGTGGACTGATCGCAATAGACGTTGAAAAGAGTTGGGGCCAAGCTTATACTACGTGCTACTGAGGTCGAACAGATCTTTCAAATATTCCATCCGTATTAAAATTAATACTAAATGCATTTTACCTGAGTAAGTCCTGTAAGAATCAGATCTAACCCAGAAGATCGTCAGATTTCGCTGTCCACCGTTTACCCGGAGTCCTGATCCCCCAAAAGAGAACGGTTTCGAAATTTGCGTGTGGGTAATGAGGAGGTAAAAATCGAGCGATGCATCGAGGAAATATTGTACGGTTGGGTTTTGTGTGTTGCAGAGATCGGAGAGCAACGCAACGCAGGTCGGTCTGACGAATCTAGAGCTGGACGCGGCGGGGGAGTACAGCTGCGAGGTGTCGGCCGACGCTTCGTTCCACACGGCCATAGTTTACGCCACCATGAACGTCGTCGGTAAGGGAAACGGTGTTTATTAACGGGCAGAAGGAACTTTACGCGCGAGAGAACGTCGCCTGGAAGTCGGCCGCGTTGGCTCGCAGTTTCGAACTGCGAATTAATACCAGCCACGGCCCGGGTGGACTTAAGGGCTTACGCGAATCGCTGTGGACCGAGCCGAAGATAATACTGCGGGTACACGCGACGGAATGAACGGGAATTAGGTGTTTTAGGCGAAGGAGAATTAGGTTAACCTGCGGTTTTATTTTCTATCCCTCCACCCTCCCCATCCGCGGTTGGCTCGTTCCTTTTTCTCTTTTTCATTTCGAGTGATACTAAAAGAGACGAGGAGCACGCGTCGACGCCTGGCAGCGCCGACAGCGTTGCTCATTAATTTATCGGACGTAGAATGACAAATTGCGAGGCCAAATGGCGCGAAAGCTAAAACCCCACTGGGGATCACGAAGCCTGAGGTGGATTAAAGATAGAGTCGCCTCCGCGCCCGCGCGGAATGGCAACGTTTATGTTGTTGGTACGGTAAATACACTGCCGGCCGTAAATTCGAGGCCATCTTCCTTCATTGTCGCGTCTTTGAATAGAAGCAAAGAAAACGACGAACGACCGTCCGAACAAATAACGAAAATTACCATCTCGCTGGATCCACCTATTATGTAATTGCTGTTTAGCCGACTGCGGGGATACTGCTTTAATGATTGCTTTATGGCGCCATTAACTTCTTCTGCATCTCGCCTTTTGTCTCGGTTAAGCAACGCGACAAAGGGGCAAGATTAAGCAATAAAGTCTCGCGGCGCGAGACTCCATAGATGGGAAAATGCACGGACGAAGAGCGTTTGCAAATTTAAGAACTGAAGAGGTACTTGAGGATGCAATTAGAAAGTTAATAGACCGGGTACCCGATGCACCCTGGTCCTTTCGTAGATCCTGCACTCGGTCGTCAACAACTATGTCCTATCGTTTTTTTCATTATCAAACGACTTACGTATCGCGAGTTAACCCTTTGCACTCCCATGTCGAGTGTGACTCGACATTCTTTCAAGTCCAAACCAAAGAGATATCATACGCTTGAAAATTACAAAATACAGCAGTACTGCAAATGAAACAGATATTTCATTGAATTTGTTTGTTCTTCTATTTGTTTAAATTGTTATAAAACACTTAAAAGCGTTGGGTAGTCTGGTAACAAAATTGAAATATAATTCGGAGTGCAAAGGGTTAAACATTTTGCAAACGCTGGAATAATTCAATTATCGGTACAGAATCTGCAAAGAAGAGAGTATTTTTTCTTTTTACGCTGATAGGTACAAGTCGGAAGTAATTCGATAGAAATAACGAAATTGGTGGTAGGAAAGTATTTTCTTTACAGAAATAAGCACGACTTTGACCCAGATGAAATGTTTGCTAATTCTCGGGAATAAAAGGGCGTCGAAAGAAATAATTAAATTGGTAGTAGGAAAGGTGTCCAAAGTAGTATAAACTTTCATTAGTGCCGGGAGTGGATACTTAACCTCTCAACTGCCGCGCTCGATTATACTCGAGCCCGGCTAAGAATATTATTCTGGATACTGAAATTTTAGAAAAACATCAGATATATAAACTTCTTGGCCCCGGTGTACGATTACGCGGGATGTTTTTCCGTTTGATTTACTTTTTACGTAAACACGATGGTCTAATTGCGAAAGAATAAATGACGAAGTGAATTTTTCACAGCAGATCTCTTTCTACCGTTGATTAATTTTGCATCGAAAAGGTTGAACGAGATGGAGAGACAGGTATTGTTTAGAAAACGCATTCTGCATGAAATATTAAATATTTTGGTTGGACGAAATTTTAATTCGAAAAGTGTCTGGCATAGTGTGTTGAGTTATGAATGCTAGGTGGTGTTTTCTTGAACAAAAATAAGCGCAGGTTCGTTTTAATTAAATTTGTGTTGTATGGTATATTCAAAATTAATTCTCCGTAAAGTATTTTCCTACCACTGATTAATTTAGCATTGAAAAGGTTAAGCGGAAGTAAGAGACAGGGGATACGCGTGTAGAAATGAAAATGAAATATTATTCTTGAAAAGGGAAATTTTATTAGCTCGACAAAACGTTTGAAAATTTAGAAAAGCAGAGACGCAGCTACCAAAAATAATTAAATTCTTAATACGAAAGACGCCTAAACCGGTATGAAATATTGCGAATGTTTTGGTTTATATTCTGAATAAAATCAAGCACAGGTCCCGGCATTATGAAAATACCCATCATACGTATTCTGCGTATGAAAATGGAACGTATTCTTTTTTAATGTAAAAAACAGAACGTTCGAACTCCGCGGAATGAATTCGAAAATTCCAGGGAACGTTCGAACAACAAGAGGAATAATTAAATTGTAAAACTTCGCTGCGGCGTGTGGTTTCTCGTACGAAAACAAAATACAGAGACCGCTTATAAAAATACACTTGGCGGTAAACGAGAACGAAATGTTTTCCTTTCGGCGGGAAAAAATTATGACTTTTCAGCTTGATAAGGCATTCACGACTGTTTAGAAAGGAAAAAGTACCGCGTGGAATAATCGAGTTGTCGATAGAAAGGATGTCTGAAGCAGAGCAAATTCTCGCGAATGCTGAGTGTGGTCGTTTAAACGAATACAAGACGCAGATAAAATTTTAATAAAATACGCGCGTCGCGTATGAAAATGAAATCATTTTCGCGCGAAAAATAAAATCTCCGCGCTCTCTGCGCGCCGTTTGCAAATTCTTGACAATGAACAGGCACTGGGAAAGCGTCGCTAAAAAATAAAAAAGGTGCTCGAAGCAGTATGTTGGATTTGGAACTTTTTGGTAGGCTGGACTTATTACAATCTGTTCATTACACATATATTTCACGCAGTCTCTTACGTACCGATGACCATTTATCAGTAAATTAAGGATCCTACAATGTCCCGTTGCAATAAAATACGCGTCGTATAATGTACTCCGCAAACGACGGCGTAATATTTTCGTTTTTGGAGGGAGAAATTTTCGCGAAACGTTGTTGTTTTCGGTTCGTTAAAGGATGGCTCGAAATTTATGATCACGAACGCGCAGTGTATTTGCTCTTGGTTTTATTTATTTATTCGTTTGTCGTTCGGCCATTTATCGCGATATATTACGTATTCATTTTGCCATTAATTGCACGGTATTACGTCAAAGAAGCGTTTAACGCGCCGATGAAGAGAGCACGTTTGAATTATCCGTTTCGCGATGGCGATCCGTAGAATGTATAAGGGATTTAAATAATGTTTGGACGAGACCGTGGTATCGTTGTCGGGAGCGATACAGTATTCAGATCGCAAATACGCGCCGACGGACTGCGAAGTGTTAACGCGAGTTGCCCATGGAGTGCTTCCAATTTTCGGGTTTGTACAGTGTCTTGCGTTATGGGAATACAAGTTCGCGCGAAATCAGACCGCGGCGTTTCAAATCACGGACGAAACTTTCAGCGATTCGCTGTCTTCCGTGATTCCGGTCTCGGTTGGAAAAATTTCCCGTGCGAAGTAACGGCGAAACTTGCCCGTAAAGGGATTCCTTTTTATTTTTTCCTCCCCCCTCTCTGTCCCTCTCTCTTTTCTCTCGACCGTCGCGAGACGTTCTTAATATTTATGCGCGGGAAGGTTTACGTTAGAAGGATTTCGTTAGAGAGGAAGCGCGTCCCTCCGTTCGGGAATGAAATTTCCCCGTTTTTTTCAGCTTTCGAGAAAAATTAGGTGAAACCTCGTGAGAGAGAGACCACATAGAAGAGCTTGTGTTGTCTCGAAATTTTTTACGAAGAAGTCGTTCGAAAAGCAGGGGTCAAGCGAAATCTTGCGCGTATTTTTCGCATTTTACGAATCCGGAGAAAAGGATCTTTTTTTTTTTACGTTTTGAGTTTTCACGAGTCGCCATAAAACGATGGAAACTCTCCTTGGGTTTGCATCATTTTGTCGAAACTGTCGCGACACTCGCGTGGGTCGGACGAACACAAATTTTCACTTTCCCCGGGCAGAAGAATCGCGATCGTGCGAACGAGAAGCAGTCTCGCGTAAAATGATAAAAACCCGGTATCGGAAATGCACGCGCAATAAAAGTTTACCCGTCGATGCGTTTTTGGTGTCTCTTCTTGCCAGCGCCATTTTATCGCGGCCGATTTCCAACAGATATTGAAACTTTTTCCCCCCGCAACGATATTCAGACGGATTAATAAAGTGGGTAATCCTTATTATATACAGTACGCCCGCGGAGTATCTTAACGAGCGGGGGAAGGATAATAGTCAGAATTTAATGGCTACGCGTTGGAAGACGTATTAGGCTGAAGAGGATGGAAGGAAATGTAATCTATGCGAGAGAAATAATGAAGTGCCGAAGCGTTTAGCCGGGAGAAACGTGATGAAATGGAAGTATTACACCGCGGCACCAGAGACAATTTCAAACGGAGATATAACGAAATAATCACACGGATATATATAGTAATAAATTTGACAAATTAATTCTGAAAAGAAGAACCTCGTGACCGCGAAACTTCTGGGTTTTCTTATTTTATTTTCGCGAAAACTGTTCTTTGTTACGGGGGTGTCCGATCATTTTGTCCTCGAGTGTACCTGGAGGTTTTCGGTGCGTTCCGCGTGTTTGTTCCACCGATGAATGCGCGTAGCAGTCACTCGAATTTTTTTCCACGAACTGCGGCGAGAAAGGAGAGGAATAGGATCGAGATGGAGAGAAAAAGGGAAAGGGAGAGAGACAGAGAGAGAGAGAGAAGTACTCAGAGGCCCAAGAGGCTCTTGCAAATCGTAAAAGCTACGGTTGGGAGGGGGGGATAGGACGGAAAAGGAGCGGCAAGGATCCTCCTACTCGAACCCCGTTCTCGTTATCCCGACAAAACGAAACTCGAGGAACTGTGTGTGTCTCGCGTCGCGAGCAATCGTTTGTACCGATGGCGCGCGGATCCTCGCCCGGTGCAGGAGAAACGCGCACACGGAAAAATATCAAACGCACCGTTCGAAAACACATCGTCGAAATATTTGGCACAGCCTCGACTGGTACACCCGGGTCTGCGAAGGGAGGGGGAGGTGGCTGAAAGAGCCTGGGACAATGGTGTCTCTCTTATGAATACATTACTTCGATATCGAAACGCGAGCGCGAATTGCCAGGCATAAAAGAAGAATTTTTCATCAGGCCGTGGCACAGAGATAGAGAGAATGGTGTGTGTGTGTATGCGCGTGGCTGGGTGAAAATGGTGGGGATGAGGGAGAGTATGGTATGGTATCGGTATGTCGGTGCATCCGGGAATCTTGAAAAGTTTTCCCCGTTTCGCGATACGTGCACACAGAATCGGGAGAGGGGAGGGAGAGAAGGCTGAAACGTCAAAGCGGCGTTTCGAACATGCCTCGCATACTTCCGGCCGTGTATACCTGCCGTCTCTTGTTCCGCAGAATTACCCTCTCAAGGGCCGTCGATACACGGGTTAAGGAGGAAATACCGGATTGACGATATGCTGCGTTTGAACTGCACATCTGGACGGAGTAAACCCGCGGCCAATCTCACCTGGTACATCAACGACCGACAAGTACGGGTTTTGGAATATATACGAGCGTCTGTGAGAACTTCAGACATTGAACCGGACTTTCGCCCGTGAATCCCCCGGCTCCCGTAAGACCCTCTTTCGCCGTTTCGACTGTTTTCGCGGATGATAACATCGCGGGGCTGCATCGCGCGGTGGTGTTTAGATTGGTCGAAACAATTGAACAAAGGTCCCGGGGGGCTATTCTCTTAACGATGCAGGCCCCTCGAAAGACGATCTTATATTCCGACCAGCTTCAAACTGTATGCAGTCATCGGGTGAGGATTAATTGTAATTTATTTAAGCTGTTGTCTTGTTGCTGTTCTATTGCATGTATATTTCGCGGAGTAACTTGGGCAACTTTGTTTTTCTAACGATCTAGAATACACTACGACCACCATTGGAAGTTTCAAATCTTACGTGAACATCGGACGACTCGAAAATTATTAGTTGTCTTTATTATCTTATGTTACGTACAGTAACTTGGGCACCTGAATTTTCGTGACGATATAAAAAATTTCAAATCATTCTAAAAAAAATATTTTTGAATGCTGAGGTCAGTTACAATCATTTTTGGTGGATAGACGTATTCCCGAATTCCTACGCACTTTCGAAAAAAAAATTCAGGTGGACAAATTTTTCGGCGAAATTAAGAAATTTCAAATCATCCTGAAAAAATTATTTCCGGTTGCGGGGGTCACATACAATCATTTTTGGTGAATATACATACCCCCGAAATCCCAAGCAGTTTCGAGAAAAAAATTTCTTTCCGAAACTATAATGTCTGGCCAGAAACCGACCTGTTCTACTGAAATTTCATGCGTGTCTTTAAAACATCGTAACTTCTGAACGGATTGAAGGATTTTAATGTTTCAAAATGCAAACAACACGTATTTCAGTGGAGAATATGTAGAGATCCTAAAAATATTCAAAAAGTTATTCCTTGACCCCGTAAAGTAAGGAAAACCCTATAAAAGTGGTCCAATTTTCAAACGACCATAACTTCTACAATAGTGAATGTATTTGATTGAAATTTTTTTCTGAAGTAGTCCTCGTGGGTACCTACAAAAAGTACTAAACAACTTTTCCACACAGCGAAAAGCGAATGTTTAAGAAAAATCGACAGGGGGTAGGTGCCTAAATTTTTCGACGAAAATGAAAAGTTTCAAATCGTTCTGAAAAAATTATTTCCTGTTGCAGGGATTAATTACAATCATTTTTAGTAAATAGACATACCCCTGAATTCCTACGCATTTTCGAGAAAAAATTTCGAACAGGTGTTAAAATTTTTCGATGAAAAAAAAATTTCAAATCGTTCTGGAAAAATTACTGTCGGTTGGGATGGTCTATTACAATAATTTTTGGTGAATACACATACCCCCAAAATCCTACTCATTTTCGAGAAAAAAAATTCTTCATTGAAACTATTATGTATGACCAGAAATGTCACCACAGTCTACAACCACCGTCCAAGTTTTTTTTATTTAGACATCGAACGACAGGACAGTTAATAGTAATATTTATTTAATCAATGTTTTGTTATTATCGTATTGTATTTTGTTGCAACGAATATCACCATTTTCATAACGACACTGTCGAACGCAAACTTTCGTCGAAGTTTTATACAGTCATTGGACGGCGAGTAAATTGATTTTAATATTTATTTAACCGAAGTCTTGTTATTGTTTTGTAGCGTCGTATATTTCGTGCAGCGACCGAGTACCTCCATTTGCTCGACGATACTGGCCGTCGAAAACAGACTTTCGTTGCATTGTCCGACCAGTGTCCGGCTAGAAAATTTATGTAGCTATTGGAAGCTACTATTGACTGATGCGGGTATTAAAGTTTCTACACGGAGTTCTACCAATTTTTTAACTAATCCCTTGCTATTGGCAGATGCAGTTGCACAACGCTATAATTTACAGGATTTTCTTTGTTACGCGAAACGTGATTTTTTCGATCGCGATAAATTCTTGAAATTGTCGGAAAATTCCGCGCGAAAAAGGGACCTAAACGAGCGATGAAATTTTTAATAGAAACGATGTTTGAACCGCCTTTTACGTTTAAATCGTCCTCAAGAGCGATACCGGGTGGTGAATCGTGCCTCTGGTGTTTAGATTAATCGGAACAATTGACGGGTCCAGTGCAGCAACCGGTTATCTCTATTTTCCCAACGAAACAGAATGTTGAATGAGAACTTTCGTTGTGTTCCGGGACCGTCGTGGCAAACTACAATATTTATGTAGGCAATAAGCGATACGAAAAGTACTGTTCTATCAACGGTTCGATCGATTCCTTGTTATTAACTGGAACAAACGGCTTGGTACGCGATAGAAAGAATAAATCGAGCTTGACAAAGCGTAAATTCTAAGACAAAGAGGGCGAGAGAGAGCGTGGCGCGGAAAGGAATAATTAAATTCTTAATAGAAAAAGTGCTTAAAGTAGTGTACACTCTCATGAATACTAATGGTAGTTACTGAAAACGAGACACACGCGCCATTTTAATAAAGTCCGCGTCGCATATTTCCTACGAAAGTGGAACGTACCTGTTTTTCAACGTGGAAAAATAGAAATCGATGGGAATAATTAAATTCTTAATAGGAAAAATGTCAAAAAATTCGCGAGCATGATAAATCCGTTTGCAAATTGTGTGAAATAAAAACGCGTCGTAAGGAACCGCATTAAATTGTTAATAGAAACAGTGTCTGGCGTGGTGTCCGCGATTGGACCGTTTCCATGAATAATACCGGCCTGTATCCTGCCACCGATGTTTAGATTAGTCGAAACGTTTCACGGTTCCCGCGCGATAATTGGCTATCTCTCCATTTTCCTAACGCGGCTGTAAAGAAAATTTCCCCTCGGAAGTTGGAAAATTTTGCTAATTATAGAATGCAACGAGTGAGTATTATTCTTTCTAATTATTAACCGATTTTATTGTCGTTCTATCGTTCGAAGATATAATTTCTTAGTTTTGTTATTGTTATTAGTTCGATGACGAGGGCTCGAATCGTAAGTAAATGTAATATTTTAAATGGGAATACAAATAAGGCTTTACAGAGGTTCTATTTTCATCGGGAAATGGAGACATTTGGTTCTGGCGTCGAACTCTTCGACCGCAGCCAGATCGAAGAAAGAATCGACTTGGGAGCCACCACTCGTTCCTATAAGGAGAACTCCTCCTTTTGTCGGACGGTGACTATTGCGGAGAGTAGAAATTTAGGCGTCCTCGAGGTTACTCGCCTTCTTCCCGCTATCACTTGTTAGCACGCGACCTGCCCTATAGCACGTTCAAAGTCTTTTAACCCGCGCTCAGCAATCGAAGCCACGCCAAGAATTGAACACGATTCGTTTAAAACGATAAATAATACCCTAAGGGATAGCCTCGTTCAATTTTTCTACCGGGAAACAGTCGAATAACAGCATTCTCCTAAATAACAACATACATTGAAGTTCCCATGAAAAATTTCAAAATAGATATTGGTCGAAACATTCAATAATAAAAGGCAACGGTCGAATAACAGCATTCTCCTAAATAACAACATACATCGAAGTTCCCATGAAAAATTTAAAAATTGGCCGAAACATTCGGTAATAAAGGGCAGCATTCTTCGAAAGATATTTGTATTTTTTCTAGAAAATAATTGTTCCAAATCGATGAATGCTGGAACGATTTCGAAACGAGAAATTGATCTAGACATTTAATATTGACGGGCAAAATACTCTGAAAGATACTTGCATGGTTTATAGTAGATAATTAAAATAAATTGAATTTCTTTAAAAATAGAGCTTGTGCGCTGTTTCTGATGTCAGAATATGTCCGAAATAGCTCTGGCCAGACAAGAGGAACAAGGAGCTCCCGGTCGTTGAACTTCCTATCTCGAGTAAATCTATCTTTGGCCGGCAAAGAAGCTTTTTACACGATTGCGTAGATCGGAGGTCGGTTGAAAAACGGGGTGCGTGTACGGACAGGAACAATTTCAAATATTAGGATTACGGGAGGAAGAATTCGTCAAATCAATTTGGGTTACCGGTTCAGCGACTCGATCGACCGATTTTCAGAAATGGAATCGCCCTCTTGCGCGCTCCGCGTTGCTCGGGTTTCGTTCTCGCGTTACATCGAATTTGAATTTCGTGGTTGACGCGGGGACCCGGTCGCATTTTTCACGCCGATCGTTAGGCTCGGGAATTTTGGAACTCGTTCGACCGGGAATAAAAATTTGACGGGCTAACCGAAATATATTTTCGGGGAAGAAGGAATCAGCGTGTTCGAATTAAATCTGTTTGTCCCCGCTGATTGAGTTCGACGTAATCAATCCTAGCCCGAGCGCAAAGAGTGACCTGTCTGTACACTTTGACGCGCTTCGCCTTTTTCACGGTGCTCGAAAGAGTTTAACTTCCCCTGAATTTTGCAACGAAATTTCTACGTACCGTCTACTTCCTTGCAGCCCGTAGCAAACTCGTTTAGGAATTCGTGATGATTCAGGGCTGATTTTAGAATCCCATACAAGCTCGTTTCCAAGCTTGGACGCAAGAAATCGCGGACAAAAATAATGTTGTCGAAGAATAGAAATTATTTCGATTTAAAATAGAATTGTCTGAGTCACATTCATGATTGCTTCTTTGGCGTGAAAGGGAAGTATTACATTTCGTCTGTACTAGATCAATTTATCAAGTTTTAATTTTACGAATGTAGGAAACACTGAATTTATAAAATACCTTAATTTTCGTGGACGATTGTATGGCTTCCTTTAATTTTTCTGTCTCAAATTAGTTTAATAGTAGAGAAATTGAAAAGAACTACAGTTTGTGTTTAGAATCATCCTATGGGATGCTTGGAAGATGTCTGTTATATTCGGAATAAAATCAATTCAAGGTCGGAGTACTGCCCTCTAAGGAGTTCGACTACCCCTATCGAGTTTCTTCTAACGTGATTGTTTGCGTCTGCGGAGGAAACGGAAGTTGGCATAATGCGAAAGTAGGGGTCGCGTCCGACGTGTCTGAGAGTGGGGGAAGTGGCCTTGTGGCGCCAGTTGATTTTCTGCCAGCCATAGGAGCGCTTTTTACTCGTTCTTTCGCGAGCGTTTCGTGCAGTATTAGATGACGCTGCATGACTCGACGTTTTTCGTTCCAAATACCGATTGTATCAAGTATGGCGGCGAAAAAACGTATCTATCGATCGGATTGCTGCACTCGAAACCGGATTTTTCGTTCGCCGGATGATCCTTCTCATCAATTCCGTTACCCACACTGTGGTCGAATTTTTCTCCCATTTATGGGACAATTTTAATTCTCGAACACTTAAAGCAAGACACGAATTATTATATTCAGAGGTCGAGAACATCCTCTGCAAAGCTCCCGCGTCATTAATTCTATTAATAAAAGATACACGATAAATACATATCGTGTACACAAGGCGAATCGCATAATTGGTCGACGTTGCATTATTCGTAAACCGCTCGTGCAAATAAATTTCACGCTTGCCTTGTTTTCTTTATTAAAACGTGTACGCCGAGGCTCCTCTGTTTTAATTTTAAAACGATACACGATGTCCATGAAAAGTTCGATTCCGGCTCTGTAACTGTAATTTATAAAATTGCTCGAAAGTTCGAACTTCGATTCTATGTGCTTGCTTCTGCTTTCGAGGCGGAACGGATAATAATTTTAAAAAACGTGTGGATTTACGAATCGTCGGGATCTCCGGCGAACGAAGCGATTTTATTAACTAACCCAGGAGTTTAGATAAAGTGGATCGAAAAAAATTGACGCGACGATAAAAATTGTTACGTTCGCGCGGGGCCACGAAAGTGGAGCACGGAGGAGAGAAAAAAAATCGTTTCGCATTGGAGGCATTTTGTGGGCTTATTTTTAGACAGGTGTGCTCGAGATGAATTCGTTCCGATTCAAACGACGCGTGTATATTTGATATCGCGGCGGAAACCTTTTTTTTTTTTTTTTTTTTTGTACAAAATCTTACAAACGGCGCTCGTTTTTTTATTCCGATGCTCGTTTCCGCGACCATTGTTTAAATTGCTGCAAGCGCGATTAAAAAAAAAAAAAAAAAAAAAAGCGATCCGGAGTTTCTTCGGTGACGCACAGCTATCAAAATACAATCCTGTCGGATCGTTCGTATCGGTGAAATGTATTGTTGTTTGAAAAACGTGCACTATCGACGTTCGCGATGTTCCGTAGTTGACTCTCGCGGCCGCAAAGGGGCCGAAGAAACAGCGTTACCGATTAGCTACGACTACGGGAAACATTTTCCATCAACTCGTTGAAAAGCATCTTCCTTTCAAAGCGTGCTCGATATTAAAAAAAAAGTGGAAAGTTCGTCGTAAAGATTTCCCTCGACTTCGGATTTCGGATAACGTCGGCGAAATTAACCCGAACCGGGCGGAGCGCGCAAGAATTTTAGACTAATATCAGCCACGGGGGATTGTTATCTTTTGTAAGTGAAACGGCTTCCTGATACACGGAAGAATAGACATGTTTGCGTCGACGCGGTTTTCTGCCTGGTATTTTACACAATGTCGTCCCTCTGTATTTCGTGCACGGCGCCGCGACGTTCCCCAAACTAACTCGAGGAACGAATTTTCTTATTTTTCGTTTATTCGCGCAGGGTGCTTCCGCGGAAATAGAGCGGGCTATACATCATGGCTAAGTGAGAGTGAAGAAAAATTGGCGGGGAAAAACGTATTGCGCGGTTTAATCTGATCGAGGCTCTTGTCATATTTTTATCGCGGACGCGACGTCTGAAAAATGCAGTTGGAATCTTCTCCGTCCCGGTTTATGGAACCTCTCGATTCTATTTACACCACAGTTTTTTCAAATATAAGCCTCGAAAGCAATTTGTTGTAAATTTCTGAGACTTGGTTCGATACGTCTGACAATAGCTTGATTTTTCTAGTTGAGTTGCCCCGGAAATTCTCTGGATGGGTTTATGAAATCGCTGAATTATATTTACACGACAGTTTTTTCAAATTCGAGCCACGAAAGCAATTTATTTTGTAAATTTCTGGGACTTGGCTCGGTACGCCTGACCATAGCTTGATTTTTCTACTTGCGTTGTCCCGGAAATTCCTCTGGATGGGTTTATGGAATCGCTGAATTATATTTGCATGACAGTATTTTCAAATTCGAGCCACTAAAGCAATTTATTTTGCAAATTTCTGGGACTTGGTTCGCTACGTCTGACCATAGCTTGATTTTTCTACTTGCGTTGTCCCGGAAATTCCTCTGGATGGGTTTATGGAATCACTGAACTATATTTGCGTGGCAGTATTTTCAAATTCGAGTCACGAAAGCAATTTATTTTGTAAATTTCTGGGACTTGGCTCGGTACGCCTGACCATAGCTTGATTTTTCTACTTGAGTTGCCCCGGAAATTCTCTGGATGGGTTTATGGAATCGCTGAATTATATTTACACCACAGTTTTTTCAAATTCGAGCCACGAAAGCAATTTATTTTGTAAATTTCTGGGACTTGGTTCGGTACGTCTGACCATATCACGAGTTTTCTACTTGCTTTGTTCGGAAATATCGAGTGAAAGATTATTTGGCACCCAATAATCGTCCCATTGACTCGTCCAGATGACTAACGAGGTCCTATTATTGACAATGGAACCCGATTATTGTCGATTCCTTTTACCGAGATTCGACTAATTGCCCGGGAATTTAAATTGAATTAAATTAAGATAGCAATCCTAATACTCGATCGTATCGAAATTCCGGGATATTCAATTTTTCCCCATTTTTTCAATATCGAGTCCCCTCGCATATTACATCTAATTAGATTTAACGTTTCCCGTTGAAATATTTCGATATAAAAAGAAGACGAATTCTGAAATGGAGGGAACGTTGTCTCCAACCAGTTCGATCCGGTATATTTATATAATATTCATAATTATTCATTGCACATATAGCTCGTTTACTGTCACAATGATGTAACTAGAAAAAGCTAGCTCACGAAAAACGATGTTCCATAGAATTGAATTATAAATTCGAAATCTCTATATCGAGATATTTAATCGAGAACTCTGAAATCTAAAAATTTAATGTGACGTGCGAAGAGAATGAACGAATATTCCAGGAACATATCGGATTACTACGTTTCCAACGTAGTTAAAGAGAAGGCATAATCACATAATCCGTAGGGACGAAAATGTATCGTGGATGTAAATTATTATATTATTTCTAAAACTGAAAAATGAAATCGATTCTTTGGGTCTCCTTGAATATCTGGCGGGCACGAATTGGCTGTATAAAATTGACAGGATTTTTTTGCTTCCGATGGACAAGCAGGGTTGTACGAAATTGTCTAGCAGCCGCGACAGCCCCATCGCGCGAGACAAACGAACCGCAGAGGGTTAAAGCGACGATCCTTAAACGTCGAACGAGCGAGATTACCCGCCAGCGACGAGCGAATGCCGGTCGGTTGCGGCGGATCGTTCGATTAATCGCGGAAATTTGTCCTTAAAACGGCGCCGGGGCTTAACTCGGCCGAATTAATTATCGGAATTAAGTCGCCGACGTGTCGCGCGTTGCCCCCGGGAGGGGGTGGGTGGGTCGAGAACGACCGGGAGCTGGGGAATTTTAACGGCGAACGTACCCCACCTGCGTGATCATCGTGGTTTCTCCTCTTTAACTGGTTCGCACGTTGTTACCGGCGACTGAACAGCCGCTGAAGTCGTACGTCCGCACGTACAGCCCCCTCGACACCAACGAATCGGAGTGGCAGATCTCCCAGATCGGCCTTCAGTTTCTCGTTACGCACGACCACTTCACCGTCGGCAAGCTGAAAATACGGTGCAGCGCCTCGATATACGACATATACTGGCAGAGCACCGAGATCAGCGTCGAGGAGGACAGGCCCAGGATGATCCACTACGAGCCAGCGGCCACCATCGTCGGCATCAACTATCTACAGCCGCCCCCGAACTTCCAAACCGGGCAGAAAAAACCGGACGGACAAGTGGGAGTCAAAGGTAACCGTCTTTACGTCTTCCAACCATCCCCATCCACCGTTCATCTTGGTTTTAGATGTTATTTACCCGGATATTCGGGTCAGACTTAACTCTGAGAATGTCATTGCATTTGCATTTACTCTCTAGAATTTTCTTTTGCGTTTCATTATTATTATTAGCCAGTTCACGTATGATCGAAAGATTTTATCGTGGTTGAACATCTCTCAAAGTACTTTGTCTCTGGTAGCCATCTTTACGGCATCTACTCATTCCCATTCACCGTCCATCTTCTTTTTAGATGTTACTTCGACATTCAGGGAATGTCGTTACAATTTCATTTACTCTCTACAATTTTCTTTTGTGTTTTTTTATTATTATACTTAGTCATTTCACATATGATTGGAAGATTCATCGTGGCTGATCATCATCTTTACGTTATCCACCATTCTCATCGACTGTCCATTTTGTTTTTAGATATAATCCAATTAGATATTAGCCTCAATAACATCCCTTGACTCAAAGAATGTCATTAGAATTGCATGTGCTCTCTAGAATTTCCTTTCCTTTTACCATACGTTTCTGTTTTTATATGTATTTATATCCCATATAATTGTATTATTATTATCATCATCATTATTATCATTATCGTTATTGTTATTGTTATTGCTATTATTGTTGTTGTTGTTGTCATTGTCATTGTCATTGTCATTGTCATTGTCATTGCCATTATCATTATCATTATCATTATCATTATCATTATCATTATCATTATCATTATCATTATCATTATCATCATCATCATCATCATCATTATTATTAGTATTATTATTATTATGTGTTGGATATCCTTTCAGGTACGATTGAAATGTCCAACGTGTTTGAACCTGTTTTGTACCTGTTTGCAACAGAAACGTATTATCATTACATCTCAAATGTCCCTTCCTGATTGTTTTAAAGATTGATCGTGTTCGAACGTTTCTTAAAATTCGCGTTGTCGTTGGTTCGAACGGTCGGAAAGTTTATCCTCCAAATAGTGGCTCTCTCACGTCGTAAGAAGAGGGGTAAAAAGCGCGGAACAAAGGCACAGAAGGAATACCCCATTCCGGAAGTCAGTTAACTTTCCGTTTCATTCGGTTCGAAGGCAATTCTTGACGGTTCGAAGGCTCGGTTAGTCGGGAGCAGAGCAAGAAACGATCGCGTAGAGTTTAAGCAGTTTCTTGGAGAGCTATGTTTTGTGGACAGACTAAATACCGATTTTAGGGCTGTTTTCCGAAGCCCCGAGACTCCAGCTGCTGCATAGGGCTTGCGGAGAACTTGCAAACTGCAGTCCTTTCCGCTGGGAAGCTGTCCCCATAAATTCTTCGCCCTGTGACTCGCGACACGTGTCATTGAAGGGACTTACCCCGGAAACGGTAAACTGATATTTGCTTCGAACCGGCGGAAACCACGCCGATATTCTTCGATCTTTAATTTGTTAACTGCGTTTGTTCCGGGTGTAATTAATATTGCAGTGCTCAGATTTTATCGACAACGCCATTTCTTCGTCCGCGAACGTTGGAATATTCCGGATGGCTGGTTGTACGAGTGTGGCGAACCAGTCTGTTGTTTTTGAGGTAAAGCACTGGTTAGTTTAATGCGTCCGTTGGGAGTCGTTTCACATGTTGTCGAAATACTCATTGGTTATTTAATTTAAAACGCGCGCTGTACGTTTGTATTATAGATGTTGCCGAGGAGGAACATCTGAAATGTCCGCCTCCATTAGCGATGGTATTTCTTTGACCGCGGGCGTTTGAATATTTTACGATATTGGTTGCCTCTTGTCCGGGCAAATCTAGTCAGCCTTCGATCCATACGTTTCTGTTTCCATCTTTCCGACAATTTCGGAGAATATCGTTAGGTTAATTGTCAGAATTTTAAATAGATACTTTTACGTCGCGTGTTACAATTATGTAGAAATTAAATAAATCCCCGGGTGTTCTGACAAACTTACCGAAATCCTGTCGTGTCGAATAATTCGTTGTTTAAAGAATAATCCATTTAGTAGAAACGCATTCTCTCGCGTCGTCGAAGACCACGTATTTTCGTTCTAACGAAATTATTTCTCGTACAAGTACGAGCAGCTGAAAGAACCCGAGCCGCCTAAATACGTCAAATACTGTTGTTAATAGCATGTTTTCGTGCAAGAATTCTCGATTATTTTGGGGCGGTATTGATTGGCCGGGTCTGGTAGGTTCACTGAATCTTCCGGTTATACCGTTGAAAACTTCGGTGTTTATTACCCCGCAGTTTATGTAATACTGTTATGCAGTTGGAGGAAGCTGCTGGAGCACGCCTAAGTGTGTCTAATACCGTTGCTAATGACATATTCTCGTTTACGTGTTCTTAACTATTTCAAAGGGTTATTAATCGCATTAATCTAGCAAAACTAGTGACTCCTCCCTTACAATTGACGTACCGTCCATCTCGTAAATTGCATAATCCAACCTCCAACGATACAATTTACCCCTTGACTTCGTTATTTAGAAACTGATTTGTTTTCTTCAAAATAATACACTTATTTAAATATGCGTGGATCTACCGTCCTGTAAAATTTTATTGAAACAAGAATTCAATAATGTTATCGATGGAATTTGTTCGTCTTAAAATTGTTTACCAATTCCAAAGGAAACGTAATGGTTAGATGGGGTTCGACGGATCTCTCCGGAACGACTTGTTTTCGTCCACAAATTCGTGTCCGTTCCAGTATCGATCGGACGCGTTCGGTAGATTCGGTAAATCCTCCCGTGCGTTGTTGAAAATTTCAGCGTTTGCTTAGTTTTCGATTTATGTAGCGCCGGTTACACAGGTAGAAGTAGCTAAATCCGCGCACCTGCACGCGGCTAAACTTGTCGCTAACGACACATTGTGGCTTACGAATTCTTAACTAGTTTGTGGCATTATTGATCAGTTGGCACTGGTATATTTAGTAAACTCCCCTATCGTTACAGTCTATAACGTCTCCTCGATTTACGATCTGTGCAATACCATTACACGGCGGGAAACCCGTTTTATCATCGTACGTAATATCGGCGCAGTTCGAAACATCTGAATCTCTTCCCGATGCCTTCGCTCGTGATATTCGTTCCATCGAGTGCTCATCGAAAAATGATAATCGAATTTATCGGGTTTTTTTTTTCCGTCCCGGATTGCCAAGAGTTCGACAGATTCGAGCATTCCTCCATAATTCACGACTTTTGTCCCCGACAACAGCGACGTATTTTTTATTCATTCCCGATAGAAACTTCACCGGGTCTTTGTCCCTCCGCGTCTCGGACTCTTACCACTGAAAGACCGTTGTTTATTTACCCCGACGCAGAAGTCGCGGTCCATAATGGTGACTTTTATCCATTTGCAATGTATATTTCCATCGCTTTGTACCTCGTTCCAGCCACGCATTAATCCTACTCTTTACGACGTACACTCTTTATCTTATTCCCTATGCTTCCTTCGTCTTGTTCCTTTTCTACTTCCCCTCTCCTCGCGTCTACGGGATCCTCATCCATTCTTCCCCTATCCCTCTTAAATTATGTGGCGACGTTTTAATTAATGATTAATGCTCCAAGGAAGGAAAAGGAATTTGCGTTTCATCTCGTCTCTGGCGCAGGGACTCCGCGGACACTTTCCAGCGAACACCCGGGCCGCCTTGGCGGACAGCCCCGATTCACTTACATAGAGAATACCAGAAACGTATCGAGACCATAGATAAAGTTTTAATTAGCTATCGGTGCTCGCGGAAACAAACTGCCCCGTGCGTACCCCACCCGGATCCGGGAGCCATTCGTTTCCAAGATACTCCGGTTTTCATTTCACGCGACGAGTTCTTTGTACATATTTCGTACAATGGCTGGATATCTCGCGAGCATAGACGTATCATCAGGCGTAACGTATTAAAGATAACCCCACCTCCGGCATGAATTACACCGAAACGAGCATTCAGCAGCCTGAGCGTCTACTTTAAACACGGTCGCACCGCGATACGTACGCTGACTCGCGAAACTTCCCGCTACAATTAAATGGAAGTTCTTGTTGAAGTTATTGTTCTTCCGCGCGGCCGGTGAGGAACGTCTTTCTCGCGATTACGATCCGAGGAACCAAACGTGCAAAATTATTGGTCGATGATACGTCTTATTTTTATTTTTTCATTCTCTATTTATTATATTTTCTCGCTTGGTCGATGTAAGTGGATTGAAATTCGCGCGTTGAGCAGTTGCTGGGCCCACCGCGAGGCTGCGCTGCGTGTTTGGTCTTTTTTCTGTATACCTCATTGTATTTGTTTTAGTTAAATAATATACGAGATTATATGTTATTTAGCCGGTTCCAAATATAACGATGAAACAAAAACGAGCATAACTCGGGGGAGGGAGAATGTCGCGTACGTTTTAATAGCTACAATGGGGGGAGTCGCGTACGCGAGCGCAGAGAATTCCCCGATACAGTGGATATTCTTTTGTTTCGTCGCGCCATATTGTTCGACCGGTTCAATGCCGTTTAAGTACTGTATAATAACGGGCAATCGATGAAAATGAAAGTACGCGACGCGATTCGTGAATTAATTATTGCGTTTAAGAATCAATGGCGGTCGTTGAGAAAAATAGGGAAAACAGTGACACGTGGAACGGTTCGATACGCTTGTGTTTAAACGGACGCGCGGTGAGATAGCAATCTTTCGAATCTGTTCGTCGCCGGATGATTATAGAATCGATCGTACGGAAAATCCAAAACCAGCGGTTTATCGACAGCGGCTGGAATGTAAATGTTTTCCCCCAAAACAGGACAGCCGCTATCGTTGCTCGGCCCTCCGGTTTACGAGCCGTATCATTGTGGTTTCAACGATTTTTTCAGCGCGGGGAAGGAGACTCTTTAACATTATTTTCGAAGCAGAAAATAACATTCTGGATCTTTTAAACGGTCGAGGCGGCGCATTTTTTAAATATTTCTTCAAATTTGTAGTGGAGTCTCGTTTATATTTGGATATTGTTCGTTCTGTA